ACAGAACAACCTGAGACTGACTTTACTGAATGATATTTGCAGTTTCCTTCAAACATTTACATAAATTGAAGTTTACAAACTTGTCTAACATATTTAAGTCTTTATGATCATCAAGGACTGAGCTGCTTAACTACAGAAATCAACTTTTTTTTATGTGAGCTGTTAATATTAGTAATAACAGAGCCTGGATGTCACAATATTTCCTTTGTGCAGATGATGAAAAGAAATGCAAATCTTTTCAAATTAAAGACCCCAAATAATTCACATGGATGTAGGAGTGAATCTATTAATTTACAAATACTTCACTTTGTCAATAATATTATTAATATACATCTTAGTTGTAAACTTTGCTTAGCTATTGTGGCATGAATATACCTCCACACCTCATATAAAATGAAGCCAATTTCTGAACTTTTACTGCATCTTTATCCAAATATATAAATAAAAAAAGGATGAGGTGGCTGATTAGTGAACACTTTTTTTTTTAACGGACATTCAAACAGAAGGTTCAAAAATAAAAGTCAACACATTTCACCATCAATAAAATGTATTTATTTGGCAATTTTTCAGTTCTCCTCTGTCTGCTCAGGACCACTTACAGGAAAATATAACCTGAAAATTCAAACATCCATTAAATCCTTTAAATTAAAAAAAACAACAAAAAAACAAAACTGATTCTGCTTTTTTGTGGGTTGACGGAGGTGCAGAGCTGACCTTTAGTGTCGGCGTGAATACTTCTACGGTATAAAAAAGTCACTTCAAGCTGATGGGGCATGAACAACATGTGGAGGTGCACATTTTTCTATAGAGACTACAAGGTGTAGATCCTGGTGTTAGTGTAACAGCTGAGTGTTTGAGCATTCGGCATTTTCAGAAAGGGAGATATTAAACAAGCAATAATTCCAGTCTTTCATTTACAGTCATTAGAAACAGGTGCTCATCAGGTGTAGTTTTACTTTGGACAGAGCTAAGCTAGTCATTTACAGTCTTTATGCTAAGCTAAGCTAAACAGTAAACTCTCAGACTTGGAGTAAAATCCAGCTGAGCATCTCCCTGAAGGAACGTTTTAATTTCTCTACAGACATTCCTTTAAAAGAAAAATCACCTAAAAAAAAA